TTTTTTTTTTTTTTTTTTTGGGTACAATAAAAGAGGCCAAGAGCCTAGTCTAAGACTTGTCGTGGATGAGATACACCCATACTATCGTTCTCAAGCTGAGTACTCAGTTCGGGGGGAGGCGAATGTAACGTGTGCAGCCCACTCGGGTATGACGACGCAAGGCGAGCCACATAGTCTGCCGACGAATTCCCTTCTCGAGGCACATGATGAAGCCGAACAATCCACATACACCCATACTATCGTTATCATGAGCATGAATGAAATCGCTATGAGAAGAATTTAACTTCATTAACTGGCAAAATTCTATGCTCGCACATGGAGCTGTAGTTTTGGGCAGACATGGATTAATTACGCCTAATTTACAGGGCAAAATTAGCGGTTAATTTGCTCTTCTATTTCGGTGGCTGGCTGCGGTTTTTCTTCTGCTTTGACTTGATGAATTTAGAAATTCGTACATAGTGACACAATCTTATTAATCTATTCAGCAAATTTTCAAGACAGAGCTGACTAGAAGGTTCTTAATTGTAGAGGAGCTCGAGGAAGAAGTCGGTTTCGATTATGAACTGGCTAACTGGGCTCAGATTGGGTTTGCTGTACCGTACAAGGTGATGCACACAACATATATTAAACGAATTAAAACAAACATTTATCCAACAAATACTAAGCCGTCTACTCAAGTAGCGATTGTAACGATCGGTCGACATATTTTGAAATCACGTAAAAGTAAGAATTTCGATTTTTAAGAACTTCGAAAATTACTTTTAATTTTCTTTGAAAGCGACAATGAAGAGGAAATCAATTTTCCGAGTATGTGGCTTTCACAATCTTCGTTCGTCTCGCCATAAGGATTCACGTGTCTCTCCTATAAGCAACGCCACCCTTTAAATTACATCACCGAGATAAATTGCTTCGCTAGTAGAAAATTGTCCCGAGAATTAATTTGGTATATTGAATTGAAGTTGTTCCGACGTAGATACTCCGACAGTCAAGTTAGTTTCGAGTCTTCGAGGATAATATGCTATATCTACATGAATTGGTAATTATGAATAATATATGAAAAAGAAGAAGATCCACTGGGCTAGAAATTAAATCTGGTCATATGTATCCGTATATCTCGTCCCGGAATACATTATTTTTATTCATGTCATTCCTTGTGTATGTAGGTGCCATATCAACTTATGTTAACCTAAGCCCTATAAGCTGCTCGACCAGTGTCCACGATCGAGCTACCAACCTATATTTAGGTGCTCTTAAGTCGATGACATAAGATACATACGGTCCACAGTTGAGCTATTTGTGCCATATCAACTTATGTTTCAGGTTGCGTTGTAGTAGTCTAGGCTTCTTGTTCGAATGTTCTCATGCTAGATTCAGCTCGATTATTATTTGATTATTTCTTATTGGTGTCTAGAAGTGAATATATGTTCTTTCTTTCTATTTTTTTTTTTTTTTTTGTAATATCTATCATCTATATCTATATCTATATCTATCTATCTATACTACTTTAAAAGGAGGAGTGTTTTTGTAAAAATTCATAATGCCTAAAAAACCCTTACTGCTTTAAAAGGAGGAGTGCTTTTGTAAAAATTAATAATACCTAAAAAACTCTTATTTTGATATAAATTTAATGGCAAATTAGTAATACACTAATACACATCATATTTTATTTATATTTTTAATTAAAAAATGAACTACCTAAAAAACCCTTACTTTCACATGTTTTTAATGGCAAATTGGTAATATATTAATGTCATCATATCTTATATCCTCCCTATATATAATTTACATAACTTTAAACAAAAATAATATAATTATATTAAATATAAACCTTCTAAAAATATATTTATCGATGTAATCGAACTGAATTGTTAAACGCTTGTTAGTTTTTTGTTCTTATTAATTTAAGTGTAAATTTGAGGTGATAGACAATAGTCATTTGTACATTTATACATGTAGATTAGAAAAAAAAAATCTTTATTATTCTAATTTTAAATAACTTTTTTATTTACTGTATTGGTTTTATTAATATAATATAAGTATCATATTGAACAGATAAAACGAGAAATATTTTAATTATATAATATTTAATATGTAAGAAATGTAACTCAATTGGTAAATTAATAGGTAATCTTGGGATAAAATAATGAGTGATTTCTGAAAAAAAATAAAAATTATAGGAACTAAAATGTTCACTTGTTTAATATATTTTTAATAGAAAAATTGTAAACACAATTACTAAATAAGTACTACATAAAAATATAAAAATCTTATATCATCCCTATATATAATTAAAAAAACATAACTTTTTTCAATTCAACATAAGCAAATCAATGAAAATAATATATTTTTAAAAATTTTATGAACAAAAGTTGACTCGACAATATTATTAATGAATTTATGACTTGTAAATATTTAATTAAATTATTAATTAAAAATTTTTAATTAAATATAATATAATTTAGGATATACAAATATTTGATATATAATGAGGCAGATGATCGAAAAAATTCTATACTTTATATTATGTGTTTTTCTGACAAATCTACAGTTAAGAATATGTGAAAGAACAAGATAAATTTTTATAAAAATATTAAATATAAGAAATAATATGAAAAATAACTAAGTTGTGATACATACTAATAAATATAAAACAAACTAATAAACAAAAATAATATAATTAATATAACAAAATATAAACCTTCTAAAAATATATTTATCGATGTAATCGAACTGAGTTGTTAAACGCTTGTTAGTTTTTTCTTCTTATTAATTTTATGTGTAAATTTGAGGTGATAGACAATAATTATTTGTGCATTTATACATAGAGATTAGAAAAAAAAATATTTATTATTCTAATTTTAAATAACTTTTTTATTTACTATATTAGTTTTCTTAATATAATATATAAGTATCATATTGAACAGATAAAATAAGAAATATTTTAATAATATAATATTTAATATGTAAGAATTGTAACTCAATTGGTAAATTAATAGGTAATCTTGGAATAAAATAATGAGAGATTTCTGAAAGAAAAAATTTATAGGAACTAAGAAGTTCACGCTTTTAAAATATTTTTAATAGAAAAATTGTAAACACAATTACTCAATAAATACTACATAAAAAATATAAGAAATCTTATATCCTCCCTATATGTAATTAAAAAACATATCTTTTCTCAATTCAACATAAGCAAATCAATGAAAATAATATATTTTTCAAAATTTTATAAACAAAAGTTGACTCGACAATATTATTAATGAATTTATGAATTGTAAATATTTAATTAAAATATTAATAAAAAATTGTAATTAAATATAATATAATATAGAATATACAAATATTTGATATATAATGATGCAGATGATCGTAAAAATTCTATTCTTTATATTATGTCTTTTTTGACAAATCTACAGTTAAGATCATGTGAAAGAACAAGATAAAGTTTTAAAAAAATATTAAATATAAGAAATAATATGAATAATAACTAAGTTGTGACACATACTAATAAACAAACTAATAAAAAAATAATATAATTAATATAACTAAATATAAACCTTTTATAAATAACTTATCGATGTAATCGAACTGAATTGTTAAATGCTTGTTAGTTTTTTGTTCTTATTAATTTATGTGTAAATTTGAGGTGATAGACAATAGTTATTTATACATTTATACATGTAGATTACAAAAAAAAAAAATATTATTCTAATTTTAAATAACTTTTTTTATTTACTATAATAGTTTTTTTAATATAATATTTTAGTATGATATTGAACAGATAAAACAAGAAATATTTTAATTATATAATATTTAATATGTAAGAATGTAACTCAATTGGTAAATTAATAAGTAATCTTGAGATAAAATAATGAGTTATTTCAGAAAAAAAAAATATTATAGGAACTAAAAGTTCACGTGTTTAATATATTATTAATAGAAAAATTGTAAACACAATTACTCAATATATACTACGTAAAAAATAATGTTTGAGAGGAGTACAAAAATTTTGTTATACTGCAATATAAAATTCAACGGTAAAGTATTCGACTGAAAATTTCAACGAATATGTTGTTTTCATTGGCTATTTCAATAGAGTTCAGATTAAATTACATGAACTTTAGTGGATGTAAAGATTTCAATTACCTGAATTTCTATTGGAATTTATTTTTTGGACCATATTTCAATCGTTTTGAAAAAATTGTCATTGGTATTAT